GCAGGAAGTAGGCCCCCGGGGAGCAGATACAGCCCAGCAGAGCAGATAACCAAGCAAAGCCCCTGGATGCCTCTGGGGCCCGGGGCAGGGTCAGAGATAAGCGGAAATGCCAGGCTTATCGCTGCTGCCGCTGAGTTCGCGACAAACCACCCGCGGCCAGCCCATCTCATTCCCGGCGCTCAGGGCAGTTGGGCATCTCCAGGCAGAGTAAACACGGGGTTGGCACGGCGGCACCATGAGGACTTTGTGCCCCACTCCAACACTTCGCAGCCCCAGCGCCAGAGGCCAGCCGCGCGCCTCAGATTACACCCAGACATTTGCGGTAAGGACAGCTCCAAGCCGGTCTGCTTTGAAGTAGGGGCCTGAGGAACAATTGCTAGGGTCACAGGACTCAGGGAGCCTTGGTGACAGTTGTTCCCCAGTCCTGGGTCCTCTTGGACCAAGAAACTCAGCAGGAAGCTTTGGTTGATGGGTACAGCTTGGGGATGGTCAGCTTGGGCCTTTCCCACAACTGCAGGATGTTGTGGGCAGACAAGTGGCAGCTAACCCCAAAGTTGTTTGGTTTGAACCCCACAAGGCTTTCTGGGGTTCTGTTTCATCTCTGGTTTCCTTTCCTGAGTAAACTGAGCTTAATCATGAGCATGTTTGTGCACCCAAGCTAACGGTGTCTGCAGGGCAGGTGCCTGGGGAGCTGGGTAAGGACTGGGGCGATGCCCCTCTTCCTCCTGCCCCACCCACACTGAGGATCGAGCACCTGCCATCCTGTTGGCTGACTGGGGTGGAGTGGGGGCGGTGAGTTCTAATCCCTGCTGTTTTCACATAATTCCATGTGCCAGGCACTGTGCAAGTGTACTTAGTGAACACTAAACAGCCTGTGGTTAGGAGCCCCCTTTACAGGTGAGCAAAGCTGTGTTCAGAGGGGTTAAGTAAGTTCCAGGTATGCAGCTGGCCCATACGGCACTGTGTGTGGGGTGGAAAAGTACCTTTCCCCAGGACACGTGGTCTCCATTTCTCAGAGAACTGTCATGGTATTTGATTCTGTTAGAATGAGACGCTTCTTTGCTATGTGTGTGTCTACATTGGCCTCCCCTCGGGTGCTGTGTCCTTGGCCTCTGCAAAACCTGCTGCCCGTCCTGTTCCCCAGGGGCAGGCACGCTGAAGTCTGTAGCGGTCTCTCCTGGCGTTTGCCCCCGAGTTCCTCCCCATCAATGTTGTGCATCACCTATAGACTTCCAGCTAAGGGGAATGAAGATTTAGCTGTCTCGCTCTCCCCGCCTTCCCTCCTCCATCCTCACAATATGTAAATCGCTGTTGTAACTTCACCGAGTGTTGACCTTATCATGGCATAACATGACTAATCATCCGTAAATGTTATTCACTGAGAAATCAATTCTGTACTTTAATTTTCTTCTTTTTTGGACGAACTCTGATTTTCTTGGAGTCTCTGATTTCTTTTGTTCCCCCCTTTGTCCTACCCAGCAGCATCATACTGGTGGCTAAATTTGAGCACTTACTGTGCGCCAAGTTCTGTTCGAGGTGCCTTGTAAACCTTCTCACGTAACCCTCCTGACAGCCCCGTGAAGCGAATGCATTGTTATTCTCATGTTACAGCCCAAGAAGTGCAGACTCAGAGAGGCTGAGTAAACTGGCGCTGGCTTCTGCCCCCAGTAACTGGCAGAGGCAGGAATTAAATCCAGACAGTCTGACGCCAGGTTGCATACCCTTAACATTTTCCTGCGTGTCGTTAATTATGTTACCATACACCGTTTCCCCCCGCGAAGTCCTCCCTTGTGGGGACTCCCCATCCTCTTCAACTTGTGACTAGGTCAAAGCTGTTGTTTCCTGGAGCTAAGTTTTTTTATTTGTTTAATCCCTCATTTTGCTGGAGTATACCCTCAAAACAGCTTCCTTAGAAAGGGTGCATACATTTTTTTATATCTTTGCAAGTCTTAAAACTCTGACAATGGTGCAATATCTTCAAAAGTCTAAGGGGAAAGGATTTCTAATCTGAAATTTTATATCCAACCTGTTTGCAGCATCCACTTGCTTTTATAGGCTGAGAAGTCTGATGTCATTTTGATTTCAGTTCTTTGGTACGAGATTTTTTTTTTCTCTTAAATTTTGGGAGCTTTTATAATCTTTTTATCCCTGTGTTCTAAAATTGCATGATGACTGTAATATTTCTTTGATAAATTCTGTTCCTCTTGCTTTCATTTCTCCTCTTGAAACTCCACATAAGGAGATGTGGGACCAGCTGGTTCCATTGTCTGACTTGCTCATGTTTTCTCTCCTAGTGGACGTGTCTTCATCCTTTAGTTTTATTTTCTGGGATATTAACTTTATTTTCTAATCCCTACATTGGCCTTTTAAACTTTAACATTCATATTTTTTAATGTCTAAGCCCTCTTTTTTATTCTATGCTTGTCCTCTTTCCACAATATCCTCCTCTTTTTTGTGGATGGAATAGCCTTTCACAGCTTCCTGTGGCTAACTAAGGGGAGCCTTTTTGAAGTTTTCTTCTGTTTCTGTTTTCTCTGTTTCCTCCAAGTGATGTTTCTGTTTGTTTCTTTTAGGCTCCTTTGGAAGGTTGCTTTGAATACCTGGTGATCCTCTTATATCTGTGCGTATTTCAGAATAAGGCATAAACAATCAGGCTCAATAGGCTTGTTGACTGCTTGGCTTTGGTGAGGATGATCAGATGGGGTGCTTCTGGGGACCCCCCCAAGCCAGTGCATAGAACTACTGTAGTGTGGACTGCTGAGTTTCTCCAGGGACAGTCCTCTGACCTCTGGGGAGGTGGGGGCTGTCCTCGCCTGCCCGTTCTGTGCAGAGGTGGGGAGGAGACAGCTGCTTTGGAGGGACTCCTCAGCCTCACATTTCTGCTCCCCCTTGCTCCACCTGGGGTCTCAGCGGCCACAGGCCTCTCTGGGGTTCTACAGGGAAAGCTGGCTGTCACCAGAAAGGCCAGGGAGAGTTTTGGGGTTCAGTGCATTTTTCTGGAAGTGGGTCAGCTGTCCTGTCCTCACCCGGTGTCCATACGGCTTGGATGCTTCTCTGGTCCGTGTTCTCTTGACTTGGGGGGTTGCATGCCTCCCCTGTCCTTTGGGCAGGCGCCATCGCTCAGAAAGAATGGCCCGGCGCTCTTGCTGTGCCCTGTACCTCAGGGACAGTTGGGGATAAGCCACACACCAGCCCGCAGGGAGCCCATGTGCTCATACACCCATTTCTCATGTGTGTCCAGAAATGAAAGGGATTCAAACCAGGTCCTTCTAGTTGCTCCTTCTCATCAAAGAAACCTCGAGGGCTCCTGCTGGCATCTTCTGTGCTTTCTCCCAGAAGGGCCCGAACTGACTTCTGGGAATTGTCCCAGTTTCCTGCCCTGTACTTATTCGATTGTCCTGAGAAACCCAGATGCCATCTCCTCTTTCTGCAAGTCTCCCAATGGCCAGTCCTGCCTCCTGCTTCCCGTTGGAGCCTCCTTAGTTCATTCCTTCACGCAGTTGTAATGAGTACCCACCGTGTGCCGGGCATGTTGGTTAGCTCGGGGGTTGAGACAAGCCTAAGGGGCGCTGTTCTGGCCTCAGGGGACTTGACGGTGCTTCTGGAACAGTGGACGACACAGCAGCCACCAGCCACGCGTCCAGTGAACCAGCTGCCTGGCAATCTCCTGTTGCTCCAGGGAGACCTGGGGCAAATCCTTTTGTACTTTAAATAATTAGCTTTTGATATAGATGCGTCTGAGACATTTGGTTGTTTCCTTTGGGTTCATCCGATCTCGCTAGATCATTTCCCAGGCTTTGTGAACCCAGGGCTTGCCTGGGTGCGGGTTGCCCCGAAGACCTCCATCGCAGGTCACGATGAGGTGTCTGTGGTACATGCTGGTGGGAACTCTCCCAGGGCCTGGCTGCCTCTTTAGACTGGGAAGACGTTATTCCACAAAGACTGTAGGTACCTACCGTAGGACAGACGTGGGGTTGAGTATCAGACAGCCACAGATTTCTGTAGGCAGCCACTCCCCAAAGTTTGGTCCAAGGAACCCTAGTTCCACAGGGAGGAATGACGCAGGAAGTGCGTGGAGGACTGTGATTTTCTGGTCAGATGCCGGTGGCAGGTGAGGTCCTGCTGAGGGGTCCAGGGAATCCCTGAGGGGCTGGAGCACAGTGTCCCCCAACTGCTTTGTCAAGGAGAGTTTACCTGTGTTATAAGTCACGGTGAAGGACAGCATATCTAACGGAGAAGATAACAGCGCTCTCCTGAGCATGCGCTGGGCCATTCCACCAGGGACACCCAGGACTGTGCCCGCAGAAGTGGGCTGCTTAGGGCAGCTGTCCCCGTAGAGGGGTGGGCAGCAAGGGGTCGTGGTCACGCTGCACAGCCAGCCCACTGTGTCCAGAGGTCACCTACAGCTTAAAATAGCAAACTCATAAAAGTGCTTGGAGATGTCAGATTTTCAGGTCAAAGTTCACTTGCACAATTGCTTATATTCTGAAGGGGGAAACTTAGAGGACACTGAAGCCCCCTCCCTGGTGCGAGCACTGACACAGCGGAACTGCCCCAGGAGGCCGGGCGCCGAGGGACCCTTGGGCAAAGCCCCTATGGCCTTGCTTTCTCCCTGTGAGGGCCTGGAAGAAAACAGCGTCCGCGGGACGGCGTCACCCCCGCGGCTCCACCGGGGTCTGCTTTACTTAGTGGTGCTTCTGGAAAAGTTCCATTCAAACAGAGGGCTTTGAGGCTAACACGTTCGGAAACCACAGGAAACACCAGCCCCCTTACTCTCTGGGGACTAGCTTTGTTGGCTTCGCGTTAGAGATTGGGGGCCCAATGCCCGGGTCATCACTGTTGGGGGAGCAGAGGGTTCTGTGAGGAACATGACCGGTGGGATGGCACTTGGCGAGTGTCCTCAGCCCTTGTCCCTCACTTCTATGTTTAGGTACAAGTGACACAAGTGACAAGTGACTGGGCCTGTGTGGGGAGGGGCCTGTAGACTCACCCCACGGGAAGCCTACACAGGTTTGGGGCGTCTGCAAGCAGGAGCGCCCAAAACTTGTTCTTAATTTGCAGAAGCATCAGTTTTCTCATCATGGGAAATAGCAGAATGGCCTCCCATTTACCTTTGGTATCGCTTTTTGTTGTGAATTAGCTGTGTGTGTGGCGGGTGGCCCGCCATCGGCTCCTTGGTGCTCTGGCCTCCCAAGGTCTCCCCCTGCCCTGGGGTTCCCGAGGCCCCTCGTGGGGTCCAGCTTTCAGGCGCTGTAGGTAAAGGACCCCTTTCTCCTAACCTTCAGTTTCAGCTCCACGGTCTCCTGCGGCCCTGGGCGGATTGCTCAGCTATCTGCCCGTCAGCACCCTCTCAGAGAGGAATGTGCAGTGCTGCCGTGATGTCAGAGGGGCCCGGGAGAAGGCCCGGGCCAAACCCAGCCTGTCACTCGTGCCTCACAGCAGAGTGGCCGATAAGCAGAGACAAAGGCTCACAGCGAGCCTGCCTGGTGCTCGGGCTCCCCGCACAGCGCCGCGATCCCTGAGGGTGGGCACCGCGGGGCGAGGCTGGAAGCTAGCGAGAGCAATGGACTTGCAGACACCGCGGCCCGCGTGAGAACCAGGGCTCTGCGGCTCTTCCCGCTGTGCGCCCTCGTCCCGCCTGCCCAGGACGTCAGGAGCCTCCAGGGAGCGCGTGGGGGCCCGGGGGCTGCCGCTGTCCGTGTCAGGCAAGGCCTGCTCGACCGCCATGGACAGGAAGCTTAACGTGCTGACTGAGAAGGTTGACAAACTCTTGCATTTTCAAGAAGATGTCACGGAGAAGCTGCAGTGCGTGTGCCGAGGCCTGGGCCACCTGGAGCAGGGCCTGCACCGCCTCGAGGCCTCGCGAGCCCTGGGCCCCGCTGCGGCCGAGCCCACGCCCCCAGGTGGCACGCAGGCCGGGTGGCCGGAGGTCGTGGAGCTGGTGAGGGCCGTGCGGCAGGACGCTGCCCAGCATGGCGCCAGACTCGAAGCCCTCTTCAGGATGGTGGTGGCCGTGGACAAGGCCATAGCTTTGGTGGGGGCCGTGTTCCAGCACTCGAAGGTGGTGGATTTCATCATGCAAGGGACTGTCCCCTGGAGGAAAGGAAGCCTGGCCGACACCGACACCGAGGGCCCTGCCGAGGTTGGTCCCCACTTCCCTGCCCCCGAGCCCCTCTGGCTGGAAGGGCGGCCCAGGGGCCCGGGTGGGGAGAGGGCCAGGCGCTCGTCTTAGGAGAGCTGGGGGCTGCTGTCCCTTTCTTGTGCCTCCTGTGTGACCTGTTGATGGGGAAAAGGAGGCACCGAACTTTCAAGGTCATGGGTGGATTTCCAGGCAGGACACTGACAGCTGCTCTCCCCCGGTGAGGGCTGGGGGGCCTTGGGCGGCCCCAGGGCACCTCGAGGTGGGGGACACACAGGCCGTGAGGGGAAGGAGGACTGTGACGCTCCTTGGACACCCAGTGACCGCCCTTTGCGCCTCTCTGTCCCTTCACACCTGCGCGAGGACACAGGTGGGGAGCAGTCCGTTTACCCTGACAGAGCCCCCATGTAGAAAGCCAACCCCCCCCTTCCTGTCCCCAACCTTGTCCTGTCCCAGAGTGGGCGGAGTGTGCAGCTGCCTGTGGAGATGAGTGTTGACAGTGACCCATGGGGACACCAGCCAGGCAGAGCCGGAGCCTGGGGGTGGAGTGTGGCATTTCTGGGAGCCGCTGTTCCCGAGGGTTGCATAATCAAACCTGCTGGCTAATGGAAGCTTGGCTGGGGTGGGGGTGTGAGGTGTGTAAAGGCAACACTCTGTTTGGGAACAGCTAAGGGTCAGCCACTTAGCAACATTCAGATGGCCCGAAGCCACCATCTCCGATCCCTGTGACCCACCAGCCTCCGGCAAGAGATCAGCTGGGGTCCACAGCAGCTTGTGCTGGACTCTGGGTCAGCTGCGGAGCCTTTCGGGGGCGAGACGGGGGTTTGCCCGCGTCCCCACCCTGGCCGAGCCCCCTTCCGCTCCCTGCCCTGCTGTTGCTCCCAGGACATGGACACCTGCACCCCCATTCCTGCTCTCTGCACCCCCCTGAGTCTGGCCAGGGGGGCAGATGTGACGGCTTGCTCTTGCCACCTCAGCTTTAAAAAAGAGAATTCATCTAGTAGTACCTGCACATGGTGAAAACATTCCTGTGGTGTAAAGGCCCGAGTCTCCCTCCTGCCCCCGCCCCCCCAGTCATAGGTGCCAGTTTCCTGTGAGACCTTCCAGAAATTGCCTGTTTATCTGTAAGCACCTTGGGATCCACACCACCCTCTTCCTTTCATTTTAACTCAGTTATTCACATTGTTCTGGCCTTGATTTTTTTTAAAAAATATATTTTGGGCATTGTTTCCTGCTTATACCTAGAAAACATCCTTGTTCTTGTTCATAAAGTTGCTCAGTGCCCCATTTGGGGGGCATGTGTCTCAATTTATTAGCCAGTCCTGTATCATTGTTGGTTTATATTGTTTCTCATTTTTAGCTATTATAAAAACTGATGCAGTGAATATCCATAGAAGTGTGAGTTTATCTGCGGGATGCACTCCTGGAAGCAGGAATGCTAAGCCAGACGGTAAATTTGTGGAACAAATACGGCCAAGCCGACCTTCAGAGAAGCCACTCTAACTTAGTGCCCTATCCGTAACATATGGGTACGCTTGTCGCCGCCACTTTTGCTAAAATAGCATGTTATCCAACTTTTTGATTCTTTGCCCATCTGGGGAATGAGATCTGAAATCTTCACTGTGCATGTGGTTTTTTTTGTGTTTTAACATTTTAGTATAAAATTATTCAAGCATTTATAAAGGTAGAGATTAGTATAATGAACCCGGTGAGCCCTATAACTGGAGGCCAGTGTTCCCCACTCATTTCCGTCTCTCCAGATTATTTTGAAACACATCTGAGATAGTGGATCATTTCTTCCATAAACATTTCAGCATTTGTATCTAAAAGATAAGGGCTCTTTTAACTATTATCATACTTGAAAAGTAAACAGTAACTTAATATTACCAAAGTCAGTGTTCAAATTTTACTGTCTTCCGCTCTTTTTTTTTCCCCTTAGTTTATTTGAGGCAAACTCCAAATGAGGCAATTGGTTATATGCTTCTTAAAGCTAACTCTTTTTCTTTAATTCAGAAAAAAATTGAAAACATTTCATTATGGAAAATTTCAAACATAACAACATAGAATTATATATCTCACTGTACTTTTAATTTGTATTCCTTTTACTAGATGTCTGAGCAACCCTCATAGAATTAAAACGTTTTGCATTTTTCTGTAATCTGCCTGCTCGTGTCCTGTCCCCTCTTTTCTATTGCAGCATTTTACCTTTTTCTTACTAATTTGTAAGAGCTCCTCATATATTAGTGAAGTTAGCCTTCATATGTGTTACAGGCATGTCTGGATGGGGGAAGTCATACAAGTTTTTCTTTTCTGAGTTCTGGCAACGTTTCTTGTCTGTTTTTCTCCAACTGGCACATGATTGGTCTGTCTTCTGGTCTTTGTTTAACACACATATCAGTAACTCTCCATAGATTTGGGTCTCATCTCCCAGTCAGGCTGTCACCTCCTTACTGGCCCAGCCAGGAGGCCTCACTTCCCTGTGTGCACAGCGGCCGGGGCTGGCCTCACAGGTGTCAGGGAATGATTAACGCGCTGACCCTCAGCCCCAGCTATTGACCGCTTTGTCGTTGCTGAAAACGGCACTTCGGAGACTTTCGGGAGACCCTCTGTGTTCCCTGAGAGAGTAGGGGCAGAGTACTCATCTGTGGAATAGAATTAAATCCTGGCACTAGCTGGTAAAATTTAAAATTGTGCCAAGACCTCGTGAGGGTCCTCCTTAGGTCTTCTGAGATGCCCAGTGGCACTTCATTTTGTTGTAAAAATGAATTAGATTATTAGTAGGAGACAGGTGCTCGCTCTCTCAGGGAGGACAGGTTCAGGCTCAGCCTGAGATGGGCCGGAACCATGCTCAAGCTGTTCAGCAGACACCAGTCCTCTGGAATGGTGGTTGGAGCGTCTTTCCCTCTCCCTGGGTGCGCTGGACAAGGCAGGGCCCAGAAAGCTGAGCCCTGAAGACAAAGCCCACCTCTGTGTGTGCACCCGCGCCTGCCGACGCCAAACACAGGGAGGGAGAGGACAGGCTGAGCCCAACAAGGGCTGCCAAAGGACAGCCTGCCCGAGGCCCTCTCTACCACCGGGGTGGCACGGGGCAGCCTGTGATAATGTCCCCCGTCCCCCAACTCCGGTGGTGGCAGGACAGATTGTAGAAAGAGGCCAAGGGCGAGGTCTCTGCTGAGCGGGGGTCCAGATGACATTGATGACAATGCTGGTGATAATCACGATGGTAGCACCTAGCATTTATTAAGTGCCTACCGCATGCCAGGCTTTGGGCTATATATTCTTACACGTTGTGTTGTCACCATGAAGAGGGCAAAGTTTGGTGTCCTAGAGTCCCAAAGATAGGAGAATTGAGAGAAGGGGCACAGGGTAGGAATAACAGTGCAACCAACCCTCGTCATCGTCCTAGTGCCAGGGAGCCATGTGCGAGGTGAAGACCCTGAAGCCCACTCACAGGGAACCCTGCCAGCCGATTTGCCGTGTGGGCCTGGAGTGGTCAGATCTTCAGAATTTTTTTTCAAGAGAAGCTGAGAACCTAGAATTTTCTGTAGTCACTTTTATTAAGGTGTAATTGACATACAGTAAACTGCCCCCCCCCAAATACACACCTTTTAAGTATACAGTTCCACAAATGTATGCACTCAAATAACTACTATAATCAAAATATAAAACAATTTTATCACCCCAAAAGGGAACTTCGGATTTTAATGTAAAAAATCTCCTAGATTTAAAATGTTGATAACAAAAATTTTTAAATGCTATGCAAGCCAAATAAAATGCATCTTTTTGGCCTCTGGGCTCCCAAACGGGGCCTCTGTGGCCGAGGCAAGAAAAAGGGCCTTCAGTGAAGTTCCCTGGGCCCAGGGGTTCAACCCAGGCTCAGGGCTGTGACCAGACCTGCTACTGTGACAAGTGCCAGGGGGAATCTTAGGAGCTTCCGCAGTCAAAGGCTCAGAACCCCCAGAAGCACCAGGGGGACCCAGCCAGGAGTTAGGCCATCCATTTATAATTATACTGAGAAATACTGAGAGCTCCAGGCTATTTCAGGAGTAAGAACACAAGCTGGTGCTGGTCTGGTGTGGACCGTCCAGGGTTAAGGAAGAGCTGCCGAGAGCTGGGCTCCGTGCGTCCTTACACGACAGGCCCACTGGACACAGACAGCTCTGTCTCAGGCAGGACGAAATCCCCAGTGCTGTCCAGCACTCCCCATGTGCTGGGCACCCTCCCAGTCCATTCCACAGATCAACTCCCCCCAGCCTGCCCCCACTCCGCGAGTAGAGAGTATCATTCTCCCCATTCTACAGATGAGGAAAGTGAGGCTCGTGAACGTTAAGGATCTTGGCCGAGCGGTGAAGGTTGGGTTTAAACCAAGGAAGTCTGGCTCAGGAGTCAAAGAACTGGTGTTCCTGGCCACTCTGCGGTGTGGAGAGGGTGACCGGGATTCACCCACCCAGCTCCCAGGCCGGCGTTACCGATGGATCACAGGATGCTTCCCCCTGCAAGCGTGGATTCATTTGACTTAGGAATCCGACCCAAACCACCACTCCTGTAGTCGTGACCGAGTGATCAGAGTTGACATCCCAAGATAAAATTTATTTTCCACGGCTGGTCTAAGTACTTTGACCAACTGAGCCACTCGGCCGGCCCTGGTCTAAGTACTTTGAGGTCCCGTCTAGGTAGACCCCCTGTCAGGGGCTGGTAATGCAGTGACACGTTAGAAAGGCGCTGGGGCAAGCCTGGGGTCCTTATCTCTACAGGGACAATAGCAGTATCTGTCCTCTGAGTTACTGTGAGACCACGGGAAATAACCTAAGTACTTCTGCCTCAAGCTCGTGGTAGGTGTGCAGCAAATGTTTGTGGCCTAAGCGAAGGTGTGGATGATGACCATGACAGTTTTTTATGGATGTTCTTTTAGAACAAAGAGAGAGTGGAAGAGAAAGGAGCGAGACCGAAGCGTGCGCTGAGCAGCAGAGCTGTGCAAGCTGAGCTCGGGGGGCCTTGGGGAGGTGAGTGCGCCCCGTTTGCTTCCTCCACATCGCACACCTGACGGATTCAGAGTAACACCCACCGGCCGTGTCAGTACGGAAACGCTGCTGAGCTCCCACCCCCAGTCCTTTTTGTCCTTTATGTGTGCCCACCAGAGGTGACAGTCAGTTGCTGTTTTAAAGTCACTGGGAACAGTTCCTCTCTGCCTAGCCTATGCCACCAACTTGATAGATGTCAACGGTTATTTTTCTTCACTTTGCTTTAACTTTTTATGGATTGCTTTTTTTTTTTAAAGTTTATAATTTTGTGTAATAGTTACACGGTTCCAAAGTCAAATTGACAAAACAAGGTATATTAAGAGACGTTGCGCTTCTATCCTGGTTTCTTGTCTCCTGTTTCTTCCCACCATATGTAACCATTTAACAAAATGTTTCTCTCACCTTTCCTCTGAGGTTCAGTGTCGTTAGACTCCATTATGAGTGGTTACTCACACGCAGGTGTGTGTACACACACACACACACACAGACACACTTTTCTCCACCTAGTCTTTTCTTACAGTACATCCTGAGGTCACCCCAAAGCTGCAGATGGAGGTTTCATTTCTCGTTTTCATGGCCATGTAGCTGGGCCACGGTTTATCAGCCACAGCCCCCCACTGGTGGCCACTGGGGTTGTTTTCATTCTGCCTGTTACAGACACACCACACCGAGTGGCCCTCTGCATATTCTTTGTCATATCTTTGGGATATACTCCTCCAAGTGGGAGTGTGTTTTTATCCTGCCTTTTTTCTGTAGAGAGCCCAAAGGCTGACCTGCTCGAGGGGACAGTGGAGAGACCGCCCCCCATCAGCACGTCAGGAGTGGGATCTGATGTCCTCACCCAGCCGGAGGCCCAGCCAGGGCAGGGAGACGGAGTTCCTGGCCTGGACCAGGTGCCCCCTGGCCACCTGCTGCCACCCAGAGAGGCAGAGGCTGAAGCTCCAGGGGCATCTGGCGAGAACCCTGTGCCTGGCCTGGAATTGCCTGCAGCACCCACCAGGGTCAGTGAGGCCCCCGCCAGTCAGGAGGCTGCACCAGGACAAGGAACTCCGTCCAGCGGGCCTGACCCTCGGCCCTCAGAGGAGGGCGTGAAGCTGACTGCAGGGCCGCCAGCCCAGCCCACGGCAGCTCCCAGCGGTGGAGAAACGCGTCCCAAGTAAGTGGCGCTCCGGTAGGCTGAAGGCGGGGCCGGGGCAGCGTGACCGAGCCCCTGAGTGTGGGTGCGGCTGAGGGACCAGCTGCATGGCTGGGTGCTGCTGTCTGCGCAGCACTGGGCTAGCCCCCGAGGGAACAGCAGGAGGAGGCCTAGGGCCTGCTCTCGGGCTGAGAGGACCGGTTCTCACCTGGCACTATAAGAATCACCCAGAAGGAATTTTCAAAAATACTGATGCCCAGAGATTCTGATTTATTTAGTCTGGAGTGTGGCTCGGACATTGGGTTTTTGTTTTTGTTTTGTGTTTACAAGCTCCCCAGGTGATTCCAGTGTGGGGCAGAGAATCACCAGCTCTTAGGGCAATCATAACCGAAAAGGTGGGGCTCACCCAACACTTCCCACCTGCCAGGCATGGGCACAGCACGCCACAGGCACCCTTTCATTTTATCCTCACGCCATCCCCAGGAGGCGAGTGTGGTTGGTGTCCCCGTTTCATTGATGAGGACACAGGCTCAGCGTGCCCAAGGCCACGCAGCTAGGGATTCCGAGCTGGAACCTGGGTCCGGGTTGCTGGACTCTAGAACCTGTGGCCCTAACCACGGCACCATCCCGCTGCCTCGGGCCCGCGTCTAATCCCCTAAATACGATGGCAGGAGAGGAGGCTGGGCACGCACGTGTGGAGGTGCCGTCAGGAGGACTTGGCTTAGGGTCCTGCAGGTGGGGCTGTGACTCGACCCCCAGGGACACCGCCTCAGGACGTGCGTTCAGCAGACACAGTGCGGGGACAGGGACGAAGAGCCACACTGCTGACTCCCAGCACTGCCCCCGCCCCTGGATCTCCCAGCCCCCTGGGCGGGGAGTAGGGGGCAGCCCCCGAAGGGCACTGTGCTTCCCAGGCTTCTCTCCCCGGGGCCTGTGCCCTCCTGCACCTGCCCTGGGCTGTCCTGACCCGGGCTGAGCCCTCCCTCTGAGGCCTGGTTCCCAGAGGGGACCTGGTGTCTGTGCTGCGGCAGCTGGCAGAGAAGCCCAGACCGTTTGTCTAAAGCCTTTGTGCGGGGAGGAGACCGGAGCCCCCAGGGGACCAGCCAGAGGGAAGCGTCCCGGCAGGCACTCTGCCCCCCACCCCACCATCCCAGCCAAGGTTCTAGGTGTGGAATTTGGGGGTGGGGTGGGGACCTTTCTGTGAAAGATCCTGAGTGAGGGGTAAAGGGCTCTGCATTAGCTTCGGCCTGAGCCGGATTTCAGCACACCCGCCCTTTCTCAGCCAGCGCGCGGTGTGTTCTGAGGGACAGAGGCTTGAACTCTGGTTGGCAGTGACTGCCTTGCGTGGGGGGCCTGAGGCCCCACCTGGGCTTGGTGGGACACAGCGCTGTCATCAATTAGCAGCGCCTGCCCTGGGTGTGCTGCTGGGCAGAAGGCAGGAAAGCCTGGGACACTCAAAGTGGCAAGGGGGTGCGTGGCAGTGCCTTTGGGTCATGTCCCGAACCCCTAGGTGTGAAGACCAAAGGGGACAGCAGTGACCGCCGGCCTTCTCTGCTGGCCATTGGCTTCTTGTAGTCCCCCATGTCCCTTAGTGGAGACAAGGCCTGAGCTAGACTCGGATGCCACCCTTCCCATCCTTCCCTGTCATCACCAACCCACACTCAGTCCTGGGGGACACAGTGTTGGGGGGATTCTGCTGTCTCCTGCCCAAGTCTCAGCAATGGACAGGCTGCCAAGTCTTTCAGACACACCCAGGGGCAGGCATGCTCTTGGAGAACCTGCAGCTCGGGGGCGGGGGGGGGGGGGCTTCGGCTGATGGGAAAGGCCTCACTTGTTTTTTTCTTTTGGTAAAAAACACATAACATAAAATTTACCGTCTTAATCATCTTTCAGTGTACATACAGTTCAGTAGTGTTAAGTGTCTTCACATTGTTGGGACACCGATCTCCAGAACGTTTTCATCCTGCAAATTTGAAACTCTGTACCCATCAAACAACTCCGCACTCCCCTCCCCCAGCCCCTGGCCACCGCCGTTCCACTTCCTGTCTCTATGAATTTGACTCCTCTATGTACCTCATATAAGTGGAATCACACAGTGTTTGTCCTTTCTGTGACTGGCTCATTTCACTTCACGTCCTCAAGGTTCATCCGTGTAGCAGCAGGTATCGGGATTTTCTTCCTTTGAAGGCTGAACAATAGTCCGTGTACACATGCACCACGTTTGGTTTATCCAGTCATCTGTTAATGGACACTTGAGCTGCTTCCACCTTTTGGCTTTGTGAATCGTGCTGCTATGAACACGGGTGTCCAAATGTCTCTTTGCGACCCTGCCTCCAGTTCTCTTGGACACATTCCCGGAAGCGCGATGGCTGGGTCACACGGTAGCTCTATTTTTAGAGTGTTGCAGAGCCGCCATGCTGTTTCCCCCATGGCCACGCCATTTCAGGCCTCACTCTTTGAACCCTCCTGCGTGTGTGCTTGCTTCTCTTAGGGACTCTCTCCACACATCTGTGAGGTGTTGCCATCTGTTTGACGGAGAAGGGCTCTGAGGCTGGACTTACCCAGAGTTGTGCAGCAACCCAGTGGCAGAGCTGAGACTCAGTCCACCCCAGCCCTTCACCCCTTCACTCTCGCCCCAACACTCACAGACCCTGGCTGCGGGGTTGGGAGGGGCAGTCAGAGTGGGGGCAACTCTGAGAGGGAGGGTCTAGGACCCTGGGGGTCATGGTGCTCAGAGCCAGGGTCCTACCCTCTGAACGTCAGGGCTCAGAGGGCCTTCCTGACCTCCATCTGGGCCCCAAACCCCAGCGCCGTAGAACTGGGTAATGAAAACGGACGGCGTGGGCCCAGGGGCATTGCCAGTGCAGCGGGGTCTGTGGGGAGGTGGCGAGCTGCCGCTCTGCCAGGCAGCCTGGCACAGCCAGGTCTGTTCGCTCAGGAGAAGCAGGCAGTCCAGCTCTATGAGCAATTGTTTGATTTTAATAAAATATGTCTGACCTGGGACTTCCGGTGTGAGCTTTGACTTGGTTGACCCTTCTCTTCATTTAACTGAAAGGGGAAACTGAGGCCCAGAGAAGGGCGGGAAGAGCCCAGGCCTCCTGCCTCCAGGCCACAGTCTCCCTGGGGCAGAGGCGCATTTCCCGGGGCCTCAGAGGCGGCTGGCGCGCCCCTCGCCCGGCACAGGTGGCTTCAAGCCCTCTGTGTGTGCTCATTGCATGGGATCCTGAGAGCCAGTGGCATTGCTGTCACTGAGGCTGGCCTCTCCCTGCTGTCTTGTCTGGGCAGAGGTGGGCAGGAATCCAGAGGCGCGGGGGCCGGAGTCTGCTGGTTCCAGCCCCAAGCTGACTCTTACTGTAACAACCCTCAGGGCCCTTTTTACAGATGGGAAAACTGAGGCCAAGAGGCCGTGGTCAGTGAGTAGCAGTAGCAGGCATTTGAATCCAGGTGTGTTCTGATTCCAGAGTCTTTGCTTTTAACCTCAGCGCCATATTTCTGTCTGTCCAGGATCTCCATCCACGTGCAGGAGACGGATACTCCTGGGGAGCTGCTTGTGACACGAGGGGGCAGCCTCACACCCACATCCCCTGTGGAGGCGCCAGCGGCTGCCCAGGCAGGCGAGCAGGACCCACCTGGGCCCATGTGCTGCTCCCAGGCCCCTGGGACTGAGTCGGGAAAACAGATCCCAAAAGAAGCCAGCGAGATTTCCCCACTGCGCGAGCCGAGCGACAGTGGGGGAGCAAAGGCCGAGGAGAAGCAGCGGCCTGTGGCCGACCCCGCCCTGGGACCAAGCGGGGCCAGGAAGGACAAGGGAGACGACGATGCCGGGGCCCCAGGCCCAGGAGCAGGGAACCAGAAGCCTGGGCCGGACTGCACCGCCGCCGGAGGCCTGGGCAGAGCCGAGGCTGGGAGGAGGACGCCCCTGGGAGCCGAGGCTGGCAGCGTGGTTCTGGGTAAGTGAGGGCGCTGCCGTGTGCCCCAGGTGAGTGGGTTCGGAGGGCCTGCTCTTGGGGGACTTCTTGCAGCTTCCAGGGAGAGAGAATGTGGATCTGGGGGATGCAAGATCCCAGCAGCCTGTCAGTACCTCCCGCCCGGGGCTGGAGGGGCAGCGCCGAACTCGGGGGGAACCTGTGGGGCTCCGCTGGGGAATTCTCAGCACCCGCCTGCCTGAGCCTCCCACCACGGCTGTCACTCTGGATGGAGACAGGGCAGGCTCTGGTGAAAAGCAAGTATCTCCAGCCCACTGTCAGCTATTCACACCCAGTGAAAGACAAGGGGTGGTCTGGTGCTGACCTGCTTTCTGTCCCAGTGGTGTGGGAGGCGTCCCAAAGGCCCTCAGCCTCTCCAGCCCTTAGGGTCACACGCCCTCATCCATGCGGCTGCAGGAAGGCTACCCCTGGCTGATGCACTGCCCCAGGGTTTCTGGAGGCCCCTGAGCTGGGCCGTGTGTCCGGCAGGCATCCTGGTGCCCCTGGCCACTCTGGGCTTTGTCCTGTTGGCTTCCCCAGCTGCTGCTTCCCCCGTAGTGTGGCTTGGTCCAAATGTGGACACGGGCTCCCTTAATTCCTGCGGCACAGCTGAGAGCAGGCCGTGACCTTAGAGGCTTTTGTGGGCCCGGGATGCTGAGATAAAACCAACGTTAACCGAGGACTCCCTGTGCCAAGCAGCCGAGTGCCGGCATCTACCCTCCCAGGCACGGGGTGGGCATCAATGGAGACAGAGGAGAGGCTGAGAAACACACTCCAGGCCAGAGTCAGGGCTGCTGCGGTCAGGGTCTGACCACACCTGTCTGGCGCCAGGACCTCGTGCGCAAAACTCACAGCTACCTCGCCCCTCACAACTGCAGGCGGCAAAGCCGACTTTAGCCCAGAGTCCTGGCTATGGAACCTGTGACACACACCCAGAATCCAGGCTCTCCTGACCTTTGTAGGGGCCCAGAAAAAACCACAAAACCTCACAAATGGTACCCCTTGGAGTCCTGGGCTCAGGAAACAAAAAAGAAGGAGCAATATGCTCTCAAAAAAAAAAAATTCAAGCTTCTGCTTTGGGGGGCAGAAAGCTGCTTGTGTTAAGACAAACTGGGAGGAAATAGCAGTGTTTTCTCAGTTTGGGAGTATTGGAGTTGCCCCTGGAGTACTGAGTGTCCATGACGGGGTCCAAACATGTCAGCCCAAGCTGCTGACTCCCCGCCACGGTGTCTCCCAGCCCGTACTGCACACACTGGCTCATGTCATTATGTTTGCTGGAGATTCTGGATTCTGTTTTATTCCCCTACTCGATTTCATGTGCTATTTCTCTGAAGGACAAGATTTAAAAAGAAATATAAACCAGTTTTATCCTCCCAAGTCTGGCACCCTCCGTTTCCCCTCCAGACCACTGTCCACCACCACGACTGACCCGCTGGGGGCTGCGTCACAGGCTCCCGTGCCCTGACTGGACATCCAAGGGCAAAAGGAGAGGGAGACGGGGCGCTTGTTTCTCCAGCTGCCGCCCTGGCTGGCCCTCCTGACCCCTGACCGTGGCCCCTCCATTAAACTCGGCTCCATCACCTGCCCCACGGGCCTTCCGTTTCTTGCGGCCACACTGACCCACCCCCGGCCCCTTCTCAACGTCAGCGAGCAGACTGGACGTAACCTCTCCATCTTGCAATGAGCACTGCCCTAGGTGCCGGGAGACCCAGGCCGGAATCCCACCTGTCACTGGCCACTGTGTGACCTCGGGCCAGTCACTTCACGTCTCTGGGACTCAGCTTTCTCCCCTGCCATGGGGGACTCGAATGAGATGATCCTTGAGGCAGGCAAAGGGCTTGTCACTTGAAGCCAGTGGGTCTGGGATGGGTAGCTGAGAGGTGTGGGCTGCACGCAGGAGGCTCACAGACTCTTGTGTCCTCAACAGATGACAGTCCAGCCCCACCAGCCCCTTTTGAGCACCGGGTGGTGAGTGTCAAGGAGACGTCGACCTCAGCGGGCTACACAGTGTGTCAGCATGAAGTCTTGGGAGGGTAGGTGGGCTTCTGCTTGATGAAGGGCGGCAGCGGGAGGGCCGGGGCACGGGGTGCTGCTGGCTGGTCCCCAGGAACTGGGCGATTGAGCCGGCGGCCGGGAGTGAGCTATTCCAAACATGTGAGTGGGCAGTCCACGGAGAGTGGGGGAAAGAGAACACTGCCTACAGCGTAGGGGCCCCACGTGATTGGGAGAAGCACATCGTCTCTAAGTTTTAGGTGTGGCGTGGGGGTGATGACATGCTTGCTTTGAGCTGGATAGTAATCATCGTGTGTGTGTGGAGGAGGGCGGGACCAGAAAGCCCAGGGGACAGGAGGGCCCCCCATGTCAGGGTGAACCTCTCGGGCTCTGAGCCTGCTGCACCGTCGTGTCTGCAGAGGCCGGTTTGGCGAGGTCCACAGGTGCACGGAGAAGTCCACAGGCCTCTCGCTGGCGGCCAAGATCATCAAAGTGAAGAGCGCCAAGGACCGGGTGAGACACCTGCCCCAGGCCAGCCGGTGCCTCTGGCCAAACTCAGGATCCTGTCACTTCCTTCTCAGCCCTCCCCGCACCCCCGGGGCCCACACACTGCCCCAGGCCCCTCCGTGCTGAGCAGGAAAGCTGGCACCTTTCTGGCCTCTTCTGTGATTCCCACACCCCCATTAGCAGCTCACCTCGCACCCTGGGCAACAGGGTCCTCCTGGACCCCCAGATTTCCTTCTTGGGCCTCAGGTTTCCTATCTGTGAAACGGGTGGGTCCCTTTTGTTGTAAGAACCTGGTTTGGGTGGCGAGTTGAAGAGACCTGCTGTGAGAGCTGGAGACAAGGCTGGGAGGCAGGCACGTGCAGGCGCCCACGCGTGTGTCTCGGGAGGTGCAGCCTGCGTCTCTCCCTGATCCGTTTCTTCAAACTCGTGTCCCCTCTGGCTCCTGAAGGAGGATGTGAAGAACGAGATCAACATCATGAACCAGCTGAGCCACGTGAACCTGATCCAGCTCTACGACGCCTTCGAGAGCAAGAACAGCTTCACCCTGGTCATGGAGTAGTGAGTGTGGGGGCGGGGCAGCGTCTCCGCAGGCGGGGTTGGGGGCCAGGGCTCGGGCCTCCAGTATGGAGCATGGAGGACAAAGCATTTGTCACAAGCCAGCAGCCAGGGGGCCTGATTTGACCTGCAGATGTGTGCCAGTTTGGACTACACAATTTTAAGGAATTTTGATTTAGTTGTTAGCAGTTGGAAATTGGGAAACTTCACATTAAGCCCTAGATACCTGGCTTTTCTTGAAGATGTAAAAGACCTAGTGGCGCTGGACCTGGAAATGGGTCTGACTTGCCCATTTGGGGTTCTTGCCACGTAGGTATTAACCGGCCCCTGTAGGAAAAGAATTTACCACCTTGGCCGAGGGCATCCAGAGTGAGCCTGGGTTATCAACACTGAAGACACCCCAGCCTTGCCTTTGGCCCGTCACTTCCTTTTCATCACCTGCTCTCTGAGCTGGGAATGGGCCAGAGCAAAGGTCCCCAGAAAACCCCAGATGACAGCAGCACCCTCGGGCTCACCTGGATCGGCCTTTTTTTGGCTCCTGGTGCTAAGGGAGGACAGTTCTCTGAGAGCCTTGCTCAGTCCGGCACCTGCCTCTCCCTTTGCCTTGGCAGTGTGGATGGGGGTGAACTCTTCGACCGGATCACAGATGAGAGGTACCACCTGACCGAACTGGACGTGGTCTTGTTCACCAAGCAGATCTGCGAGGGCGTGCATTACCTCCATCAGCACTACATCCTGCACCTGGACCTCAAGGTCAGGCCCCCCTGGGCACGTGGTGGGGGTCTCCCAGCTTCCCGAGCCCCTGCTGCTCTCTCATCTTGGAGAGCTCTGTCTGCAGACAACCCGGGCATCCCTTCCTGGCTCTCTGCCATTTCCTGGTTCTGGAGTTTGGGCAGGCAAGTCACGGTGCCTTCCTGAGCCGCGGCTCTTCCATCTGTGAAATGTGGATAGCATACCCCTTGAAGCGTTATTTGAAGTTTAAATGATACAATGACTTTTTTCTTCAAAAGTATCTTCAAGATTAGTTTTGAAAAAAATAAAATAGGAACACATGCTTGTGGTAACAAATATAGACGGTATAGAAATGGACGAGAGAGACAGTGAAGGTTCTTCCCACCCAGCCTCCATGCTGAGAGGTCTTCTGTATTAGCAGTTTGACATGGCACGCAGAGGGGATCAGAATGTGCCCCTCATTTGTAAACTTGCCTCGTTAGTTCCCAGTATGCTGGACACACCTTTTCTCATTCCCTTTAAGGGCCGTGTGATATCCATTGAATGAATGCAGTACACTTTCTTTTGTCTACTTGATGAAAAGTCAGCACTGATCCATGGCAGACTTTTCTTTTCTTTTCTTTCTTTTTATACATGGGTTTATTTCTGAGCTCTTTATTCTGTTCCATTGACCTACCCATCTGTTTTTATGCCAATGCCACATTGTTTTGATTACCATGGCTTTGTAATATAGCTTGAATTCAGGACATGTGATGCCTCCAGCCTTGCTTTTTCCTCAAGTTTGCTTTGGCTCTTCAGGGTCTTTTGTGGACCTATACAAATTTTAGGATTGTTTGTTCTATTTCTTTGAAAAATGCCTTTGGAATTTTGATAGGGTTCGCATTGAGTCTGTAGATTGCTTTAGGTAATATAGACATTTTAACAATACAGTAAGACCCCAACTTAACGAACGAGTTTCGTTCCGGGAGAATGTTCGTAAGTTGGATTCATTCGTAAATCTGACAAAGTGAGTCTTTGACACAAATACACAATGTAAAGCATAAAAAAGCTAAACACACACACACATACTGTAAATACACTATTTTTACTTTTACAGTTACCTTTAAACGGTGGTACAGTACGACAACTGGCATAAAGGGGATTGCGTGGAGTGAGCTGACAAGAAGGGAGCTTCTAACTGGAGGAGGGAGGGTGGGTGGGAGATGGTGGAGCTGCTTTTCCTCAGCTTCCGGACATCCTGGGCTCTGATTGAGCACTGCACTGCTGTTCACTGTCGCACTGCACAGTAAGCACACAGCAGCACAGCTGTGACAATGTCCGGCAGACACAGGAGCTATTTCTGCGATTTGTCCGCATCTACGAATGTTTGTAATGCGAGGTCCATTCGTATCTGTGAAAGTTCACAACTCGAACGTTCGTAAGTCGGGGACTTACTGTATTAAGTCTTCCAACCCATGAGCACTAAATATCTTACCATTTATTTGTGTCTTCTTCAATTTCTTTCATCAATGTCTTAAAGTTTTCAGTGCACAGACCTTTCCCCAACTTGGTTAAATTTACCCTAAGTACTTTTTGCTTATTGATGCAATTGTAAATGGGGCTGTTTTCTTAATTTCTCTTTCTGATAGTTTGTTGTTAGTGTATAGAAATACAAATGATTTTTGTATATTGCTTTTGTATCTTAAAAATATACTGAATTTGTTTTTAAGTTCTAATAGTTTTTTGGTGGCGTTTTTAGAGTTTTCTATATAAAACATTATGTCTTTGGCAAACAGTGAGTTTTACTTCTTCCTTTTCTATTTGGATGCCATTTATTTATTTATTTAGTATGTATGTATGTACCATATGTATTTATTTATTTATTTTTACCTAATTGCTCTGGCAAGGACTTCCAATACTATATTGAATAGAAGTGGTGAGAATGGGCCTCCTTGTCGTGTTCCTGATCTTAGAGGAAAAGCCTCCAGCTTTTCACCATTGAGTATATTATCTGTGGTCATGTTATGTAGGGCCTATATTATGTTAAGGTACGTTCACTCTATACCCAGTTTGTTGAGGGTTTTTTTTTTTTATAAAGATTTTTTATTGGGGAATTGAGGGAGGGGAACAGTGTTGGGGAATTGGGGAAGGGGACCAGCCAAGTTGCTGTTCTTCAATCTTTGTTGTGGAGGGTGCCAGTCAGCATCTGGTTTCCTGTCGGCAGCTCATGGCCTCTAAGCTCAAGTGCTGTGTTTAATCTTAGTTGTGGGTGAGTGTAGTCACCATCCCATGTGGGAGTCGAAACAGCAGCCTTGTTAAGAGTGCACGCTCTATCCACTGAGCCATCCGGGCAGCAGCCCAGCTCAAGGTGCCGAGTTCAGTCTTAGTTGTGGGTGGGCGTAGCCCACCATCGAACAGGCAATCTTGTTATTACACCAGCTGAGCCATCCTGCCACCTGCTGGCAGCTTAGGGACAGCTCAGCTCGGGCGCAGCGTCACTGGCCCATGTGGGAATCCAACCAGCAGCCCTGTTGCTCAGAGCTCACGCTCTTAAGCCAACTCTTAACCAACTGAGCCTCTTTGCCGACCCTGTTGAGGGTTTTTAATCATGAAATAGATGTTGGGTTTTGTTAAGTGCTTTTTCTGCATGTATTGAGAAGATCATATGACTTTTATCCTGCATTTTGTTAATTTGGTGTATCACATTGGTTGATTTGCATATGTTGAACCACCTGTGCATCCCTGGAATAAATCTCATTTGATCATGGTGTATACTCCTTTAAAGAATTGTTGAATTTGGTTTACTAATATTTTGTTGAGGATTTTTTACATCTATGTTCATCAGAGATATTAGTTTGCAATTTTCTTGTGGTGTCCTTGTCTGGTTTTGGTATCAGGGTACTGCTGGCCACATAAAATGAGTTCAGAAGTGTTCCCTCTTCTTCTCCTTTTTGGAAGAGTTTGAGAAGGATTGGTATTAATTTTTCATTAAATGTTTCGTAGAATTCACCAGTGAAGCCATCTGATTCTGGACTTTTGTTTGTTGGGAGATTTTTGATTATTGATTCGATCTCCTTGCTAGTAATTGGTCTGTTTAGATTTTCTATTTCTTCATGAGCCAGTCCTGGCAGGCTGTGTGTTTCTAGTAATTTATCCATTTCTGTTAGGTTGTCCAAATTGTTAGCATGTAATGCATAGTAATCTTTTCTGATTTTTTATATTTGTGTGGTATCAGTTGTAAGATCTCTTCTTTTGTTTCTAATTTTAGTTGAGTCCTCTCTCATTTTTAAGTCTAGCTAAAGATTTGTCTATTTTGTCTATCTTTAATTTTTTTTCTGGTTTTATTGATAATAATTGACATATAACATTGTATTAGTTTAAGGTGCACAACGTAATGCTTGATGTATGTGTATACTGAAAAATGATTACCACAATGTTTAGTTACATCCATCATCATATATCATTACAATTTTATTGTGATGAGAATTTTTAAGATTTCCTCTCTTAGCAACTTTTAAATATTCAATACAGTATTATTAACTATAGCCACCATGCTGTACATTACATCCCCAGAACTTATTTATATTGTAGTTAGCAATATTGGACAAGAGAAAAAGAAAGAAGACTCAAATTACAAAAATCAGGAATAAAAGAGGGGACATCGCTACCAGCCTTACAGAAATGATAAAAAGGATAATAAGGGAATACTATGAAAAATTATTCCAACAAGTTAGATAAAGTAGATAAAATGGACAAATTCCTAAGACACATCCTACTGAAAACGGACTGAAGAAGAAATAGAAAATCTGAGTAGATAAATAACAGGTAAAGCAATCAAATTAATATTAAAAAAAATACCACAAAGAAAAGCCTAGGCCAGTATGGTTTCACTGGTGAATTCTACCAAATGTTGCAAGAAGAATAACAAACCTTTACAAACTCTTCCAAAAAGTAGAAGAGAAGGGAACACCTCCTTTCATTTTATGAGACCAGTCTTATCCTAATACCAAAACCAGACAGACACCACAAGAAAATGACAGAGCAATATTGCCTATGACTATAGATGCAAAATTCCTCAATAAAATATTAGCAAACTGAATACAGCAACATATAAAAAGGATTATACACATCACAAAGTAGGCATTATCCTAAGAATGAAAGGTTTCTTTAACATGAAAACCAATCAATGTACTATGCCATATTAAAAGAATAAAGGACAAAAATCACATAATCATTTCAATAGATGCTGTTGACAAAAATCAAACAACTTTTCATGATAAAATCACTAAACCAACGAGGTATAGAAGAGAACTCCTTAATCTAATAAAGGCCATTTGTGAAAAACCACAGCCAATATACTGTATTTTGCTGTGTATAATGTGTATCCATGTTTTTGGCCCAAACTTTCAGGGGATAAAAATCTTTTGTTTTAATTTTTTAATTCAAATTTTTATTTGTTTACATGTAAGTACTTGTTTTCTGTATTACAAAGGAATTTTCGCATTTATTTTTTTAACATATTATGGTACAAGAAACTTTATGTGACAAATAATTACAAGACACAAGAACAGATACAAGGTACAAGAAATTTTATGTACCAGTAACAAATTTACAATATTTACACATCATTGTAGAACGCCAAGAACTCTTCATTGCAGGTTCGTCATAAGTTCAACATAAGTTCAACAAAACCGATTGTCATATTCCAGGGTATTATTTTGCACAGATATCGTTATTGATTTCTAGAGTTACACTTTTAACTCATAAGCATAAATAAAAGAATTAAAAACATTTATATAGATAGGGAATTAGTACTACCCATGTATAATGTACATCCTTATTTTTTCCCTCACAAATTTGGACAAAAATATGCACATTATACATGGCAAAATATGGTAATACTGGTAAAAAAGGTGAAGTGCTTTTCCCTTAAGATCAGGAACAAGACAAAGATGTCTGCTCTTGCCACTTCTATTAAACATTGTACCTGAGGTTCTAACAAGGGCAACTAGGCAAAAAGAGAAATAAAAGGCATCCAGGTTGGAAGGAAAGAAGTAAAATTCTCTCTACTCACAGATGACACCATCTTGTGCATAGAAAATCTCAAGGATTTGGGGGGCAAACTATTAGAACTAATAAATGAGTTCAGAAAGGATTTAGTTGTCAACATTTAAAAGCATGGAATTTTCACATAAAAACTTGGATTTCTGGCCCCTCTTGAGGACTGAGGGGCTGCATTCCTATGTGGTGGCCAGTGGCTGGAGCTGAGCAGTGGCTGCCCCTTCACACAGGCCCGCCAGGTCCCCAGGGTTCATGCTACTCCTTATGGTCGCACACTAGCCCACGTCATTTCTTTTCAATATCTATCTCTATCTACCTGTCATCTGCCTATCTATCTATCTATCTATCTATCTATCTATCTATCTATCTATCTATCATCTATCTATCTATCTATCTATCATCTATCTACCTATCATCTATCTATCTATCATCTATCTATCTATCATCTATCTATCTATCTATCTATCTATCTATCTATCTATCTATCTATCATCTATCTACCTATCATCTATCTATCTATCTATCTATCTACCTATCCATCTATCTATCATCTATCTATTCACCTATTCACCCATCCCTGTAGGGCTGCCCTGAGCCATTCGTTTCCCTTGGAGCCTGGGAAACAGTTCTCTTGACAAGTCAGTGTGGGAGCTGCAGACCTTCTTAGCTGTTGATTGAGCCTAAGCAGACTTCTCTTTCTTTGCCAGCCGGAGAACATACTGTGTGTCAATCAGACAGGACACCAAATAAAGATCATTGACTTCGGGCTGGCCAGAAGGTAAGGCGGTTGAATTCTGGCACTTTGACAGAACTCCTTGGGGACTCTTTCTGGCTCTCTTGGGCACAGTTACCCACAGCTCAGCCAATTTTTTAGTTTTGGGACTGACACAAGAAAGCTCTTTCAAGGAAAGGCTGCTAGGCCATTGTTACCACCACAGGGTGTGCTTTGTATTGTGAGCGCTGCTTCATCCTGGGAAAGTAGCGCCTGGGGGCCAGGCGCCTGGGCCTTCTCTCCCCAGGGGAGCGCCGCTCCTCCGTCCAGCCATTGGCCCTGAGTCTCAGATCCCAGGGAAGGGGAGGACCAGGCGGCCAGAGGAGGGCTTGAGCTCTCTTCCGGCCGTGGCACGGCCATGACTAACGAGCCTGTTGCTCTTCCACTGGGCGATGTCGGCTGTGTGGGCTCCGGATCTGTGTTTGCCTGGCTCTCAGCAAACTTGGAAGAGAGGAGACTGTATTTTGGAAACTCACTTCCCTGGTTTAAGGCAATCAGGACACACTGGCAGAATATTCATTTTGTTCTTCCCTATGTCTCAACGGGCTCATCTGTAGAAGGGGGACAATGATCGTACCTGCTTCATAGGGCGGTTGTGAGGGTGAGAAGTTTATAAATATAACGCTTTTAGTGCCTGGCAAATAGAAATGCATGTTTAATGGTTTGTTTTTCATTTTTTTTATTTTTTATTAACATTAAATTTTTTTAGAGCAGTTTTAGTTTCACAGAAAAATTGAGGGAAGAAACAGAGATTTCCCATAGGCCCCCTGCCCCCACACATGCAAAGCCTCCGCCATCATCAGTCAACATTGAAGAGCCTACATCGACACATCATAGTCACCCCAAGTCCAACCCCACGGCACACACCGCAGAGCCATCTCCACACACAGCTTCTACCCAGTCTGTGCTCATTCATGTGGCTGCATGCCGAATAAGAGGTACTGATGTTCTCACCTCCCCAGATTGTACATGCCTGGAGGCGAGGGCTGGTTGTCTGGAGTTGGGGCTTGCAGGTGTGATGATTCTCCCGGAAACCACGTGTGTGGTGGGATGTGAGGTCCAGACAACATGGCCGCCAGGAAGGGCCCGGGAATGTCGAGCGTGCACCAGCAATGAGCCCCGCCTGCACACCTTCTCCCGGGCTCACTCCATGGTCCTCTCCCCCGTCTCCCCCACCCCAGGTACAAACCTCGGGAGAAGCTGAAGGTGAACTTTGGGACTCCCGAGTTTCTGGCCCCGGAAGTCGTCAACTACGAGTTCGTCTCGTTCCCCACGGACATGTGGAGCGTAGGCGTGATCACCTACATGCTGTGAGTGCCCAGCAGCCTGGCTGCCGCTGGGCTGGGGGTCACCTGTCCTTAGACGCAGCCAAAATTTGAGTGCGAGCCATTTATTGGGGAGTTGTGCCCAGGAAGCCCCAACAGAGAGTGGGAGGTGGGGTGGGGAACAGGGCAGTCAGCAACCATCGTGGGCAGCTGTAGTTTAATCGTCGGGGGCTCTGGGGTCCAACGTGGAACGTTCCCGCAGAGTCATTCCATCTGTGGGGTGAGGGACCTGGGGTACGGACAAGAGTGCACCCACTCTGATCAGTTGCTGCTTGTGTGCTGATCCCAGGGGCACTAACTCCCTGAAATGTTCCGATCCACTGGAGAGAAAGCGCTCCAGCAGATAAATGCAGTCTGGGTGGGGGCTGGAGTGCACTGAAGCAGTGAGGAGGGGTCAGCGGGCAGGACACCCATCACCCACCCTGCTTCCTGTGGGCTGAGAGGTTTGTACAACTAAACACCCTCCTCTCTGTGTGGCCTGCCCTCGCCGGCTCTCTCCTCAGAGGCGTAACAGAGTCATGCCTTGCTCTGGGCTCACCACTGTGGTGTCACTGCAGCTCCGTGTCCCCACACTTAGTATATGTGTGCTGTGCCAGGAAGCTTGAGGCCACACCCAGGCCAGCCAGATAGGGTGTGCTGCCTCTCCTTCCACTGGAGGAGCCGATAAGGCCAGTTTTCCTTTGGCCCCTGAGGCCTGGGGAGTACCTAACCCCACCTGGCGTCTCAAAGCTGTGCTAATTAATGTGTGCCCGATAAATGGACATACTGGGTAGGCCCCAATTGACTCTTTACATCAGGGTAAGGGGAAGAGAGGAGAGCATGATAGGGGGTTTATTCGAATGCTCCTCCTTTCTTCGATTTGTCAATCCTTCCACGTCTGCCCCTGACCCCCACCCCCCTCCTGTGGGACGTAATGGGGGTGTTGTTCATTTAAGCCCTCTTGGCTCTGGTTAGCTCTGCTGGAACCTTGTAAGGTCCCTCTCCACCCTGTTGATGCGTGTTGGCAGATGTGGCTTGCACATACTGACAGTCCTTTCTCTCCTCCGTAGACTCAGTGGTTTGTCCCCATTTCTAGGGGAGACAGATGCTGAGACCATGAACTTCATTGTGAACTGTAGCTGGGATTTCGATGCCGACACCTTTGAAGGGCTGTCCGAAGAGGCCAAGGATTTTGTCTCCCGGCTGCTGGTCAAAGAGAAGAGGTACTTTTATTGCTTGTCACTCACCAACCATTCTGATGGCGACCGGGACTGGGAAAATCAGGGCTGCTGGTTTTCTTCCCGTGGACTGGTTCTGTCCAGGATTTCTTAGGCTGCTACTTCTTTGGAGCAAAAAAGGTAGCAGGGAAAGTGACGAAGGAAATCAGTTAGGAAACACAACGAGCGGGAGCAAATCTAGCTAGAGTTTTAGAAAGGACCAAATTTAGAAGCTGGTCCTATTCCCAAGTTATCACTTGTAATAGACTAGTGTGGGGTAAAGTTGAGCTATGCAGATGTTATTTCCCAGAATAAAGGCCAGAAAACCTCATTTCTGGATGAGGAAGGCCTGCTTAGTTTTCAACAGCTGTCACAGTCGTGGGTGGAGCCCTCAGCTGTCTGATTCTCAGACATGGGAAGTAACTGCACGCGACCCAGGAATGAGGCCCAAGGGTCTGGGCTCTGAGAACGCATAGTTCCCTGGCCTTCACTCTCTTGTTTTTTTCTGATTGTGAAAAGTATGGGAGGAAAAATATTTCTAATTCAGATGAACCAGCTGACGTTACTCTGGAAGGAGAGGTGAGCTTCTTTCAAGGCTCATGATCTTTTACTTCTTAAGAGCAACTCCAGGCACAGCTGGACTTCCTGCAGCCCTGTCTGGACCCCCCCCACCCCCACCCCACTCCCTGGGAGGTGGGATAGGTCCCTCTACAGAGCTCAGGGAACATCTGGCCTACGACTTTCTTCCTGACTTTCTCGCACTTCTAAGGAGGGGAATTTTAGATGCGAGGAGTTCCCTTTTTGGGAATCTGCCTAAATGATTAATCTGGTCCGCTGACTCAGGCATCCCACCCAACTGAACTAGTGTTTGGACAACCAGAAAAGGCAGCACCAACTAAACGTCTCGTCCATGTTTTATTTCTCAGCTGCAGGATGAGTGCCACACAGTGTCTGAAACACGAGTGGCTGAATAACTTGCCTGCCAAAGCTTCAGAATCCAAAGTTCGTCTCAAATCCCAGCTATTGCTGCAGAAATACATGGCTCAGAGGACGTGGAAGGTATCTTTTTTTTTTTTTCTGTAAAGGCAGCATTTGTCTTCCTAATATATCCTTTGAAAGAATGGTAGCTAAGATTTTACTTACATTTTGACTCTAAATAGAAAGATTAAGGGAAAAAGAAAAAACCCCTCTTACGTCAAAACCTGTTAGCTTGAGTGAAAAAATACCACCGACCAAAAATGACTGGCATGAAAGTGGCATTTAGTTTGTACTTATGTGGACAGTTGAAGTGACAGAATTAAGTTAGCACATTTTCAGTAACAATCGTAGTGGGTCGCCGGGAACTAGCTGCTTGTAGCTTGAGGTACAATTCCTCTATGTTTCAGAAATAGGGGCTGGGAAAGACTTAGTTAAAAGCTTTATAATTTTGTTTACAACAGGACTCTTTGGTACCAAGGACATAAAATCTATCTTAAAAACCATTGTCCTCCAGAGAAGTGACTTTCCAACATTTTGATATTGACTAAGATCCTTGTTAAAAAACAAAATTCTTCACCTAGAGAACCAGTACCCACGTGTCATAAGCTTGCACACACTTACGAAGCACAGATATCACATTTGCCTGACAGAGTGTGATGCACCCTGATATTTTCTATTCTGTGTTATTTGGTTTCAATCAAAAAAATCCTGGTGGTGACCCACCAATTTCATGACCCACTGGTGGTATGTGAGTCACAATTTGGAAACACCGTGCTAGGGTGCTCCCTCGTTCATGTAAAAAGGATAACATATTTTCTCACTTCATATCTGCTCCAGAAAGGCCCCTGAAAGTCACGTGACTGTTCTATAATTGTGCTAGAATTTTCTTTTTCCCTCTAGGTTTTCAGTTTTAAACAAACCCAAGTGCCTAACTTGCTTAAGTCCTTTTATTGTTTCTCTTAAAACAATTGGTCTAAAATATGCTTCCCCCCCCCCTTTTTCCCCTCTCCTTATCTCAAGAAACATTTCTATGTGGTGACTGCTGCCAACAGGTTGAGGAAATTTCCAGCTGCTCCCTAATGCTCGCTCTGCTGCTCCCACGGGCGATTGAGACCAGTGGTGAAGTGATGACTCAAGGTTTTAAATAATCTGGCCTTTTACTAATATTGGTTCCACTGATTTTGTAAAACAAAAGGTTACGGCTGTTGCCTTCCTTGTGAGTGAAAAGTGGCTGTAAGAAAAGTGACTTGAGAACTTTTTTTCTGCCTTTTAAGGTCACTAAGTTTGAAATGCTGTGTTTACTTTCCAAATATACCTACTTTGGGTGATAAGTGTAGGCAGTGCAGTAGGGAGGTAGGGAAGCTTCTATTTCGCATATGTCACATTGAAATTCTAAACATTGGAGGAGCCTAGAGACTGTTACACGGGGTGTGTTATTCAGCATTATGTCCTTCAGTACAGAGAACGCGTAGGCTTTGGATTTACTCCGGTGTGCCTGGCGTTTTTCTATGTGGCCCGCTGTGGTGTAGAGCTGCGTGGGGTGAGGCACCGGGTCTCAGGCCTCTTCTGACTTGTGCTCCCTTTTGAGAATCAAAACGTTCCTCCTTTAACAGTGTTTATAATTTCAAAAGATACCAGCTGTCATGGCTACATCAGAACAATGGTCATTTTGAGAGTACTTTAAAAATCTGTACCCACCGCTGCCCTCTCCTCATCCTGTCATCCTGACGTTGGCAGCCCCACGCCGGGTCCCCCACCTCAGGCATGCATCTGTGGTCCTAGTAAGTCTGGTACCTGATATGCCATGTGGGAAAGAGGCAAGAACGCAGTGACGTCAGCTTTCTGAGACACACAGAATGATGATACCTCGTGAGACGACAGGGACACCGTCCCCTACTGCTTTTATGGAGGATGTGCGACTTTCAGCTCTGTCATTTAGCTGACTTGTAAAATGATTAACAAGGAGCACTCTGCTATTCACAAGTACACAATCCTTTTAATGTCCTCGCTTCTACCTGATGTTTGTGCTGTTTCCGACCTCTCAGGTCAGCAGGTTGAGGGGGAGCTGTTAATTAGCCGTGCAGCAGTCTCGTAGCCTTTCAGGAATTTTGTCCAAATAAAGACTTTTTTTGGCAGAGGACAGGGATGTGGGGAGGGAGGCAGAACGTGGAGAGGTTAATGCCGCTGCTACAGTTCTCCAGCTGACCATCCTCTGGAACGCTCACCCGTGGGGAGCTAAGATTCCAGTCCAGCATGTCTAGGCCTGCCCCAGGCCGGCCCGCTAACGGATAAACACCAGAGCTGGCTGCGGGGAAACCTCCCTCTCGTGGGGGAGTAACAGGGAATTGGTCAAAGGCTTTATTTTGAAGCATCAGTTACCGCTCTGAAAAAGGCTTTTGAGGGCAGCCTGCAGGAGGCGCTAGAGAGGATGGATAGATTCTAGTTTTATCTACTATATATATATATATATATATATATAGTTTGGTTCTTGGGGAGTGGTCTGAACCTTCTTCCCCAGACAACTGTACTTAGGTACCATGATCTAGAATACCATTGTCCAACAGAAATACGACATGAGCCCTATATGTACTTTAAAAATTTCAAATAGCTCCTCCAAAAACAAAAGCTTGGTGACATTAATTTTAATAATTTATTTAACACAAAAAATCAAAAACATTATTTCAATATGTAATCAACATAAAAATTATTAATGAGATACTTTATATTCATTTTTTCATACTGAGTCTCCAAAATCTGGTGTATGGTTTATACTTAAAATACATTTCAATTCAGATACGAGGTTTTCATCAGACATACTTAATTTGTATTTAGATTTCATACAGTTTACTGTGGAAAAATATACTCACATACTCAAGTTGTTCGAAACATCTTCAACATTTTCTAATAATTGAATTAAACACCCATTTTTACATTTAATTAAAATGAAATAAAATTAGAAATTCAGTCCTGTAGTTGTTATTTGCTACATTTTAAGTGCCTATGAGACACATGTGGTTAGTGGCTTCTGTATTGGACAGGACAGATACAGAAAGAATCCTTTATCAAATTCTAATTATTTTTTCTTCCATATGCTGTTCTTTATCTAGAGAAACAATTTCTCTCCAAAATCCCCTTGAGGGGTGTATTTAGATCAGGTACACACAGGTAATGTGGATTTTAGCCTCCCTTATCTGAAATTCGAGGGAGCTTTTATGAAGCTTTAATTTTCTGGATATTTTTAGTTCTGTACTTTGCTGGTGTGTACTTAGCTCAGAGTTTTTAGATTGCTGCTGTGCCAGTATCATCTATGTCTAATGGGACTTTTCCACGTGAAGGAACAGTCACTGGACAGTGCTGGGCAGAGAAACTGTAAAAGGTAGTCAGGACCCACTTTTCTCACCTATCGGATTGGTGACAGTATCATGGAGAAATGGAAACTTTCCACTCTGGGTGGATGTGTATCAAAATAAAAGCCATGCCCACACTTTCACCCAACAATTCCATTTCTAAAATGTATCCCTCAGCAATGCTTGAACGAGTGGACAGATTTATGCAAAATGATGCTTATTCTAGTAGTGTTGCCAACGACACAGTGAAAACAGCCAGTGGGTTTAGTTCACTAAGTTTTGCCGCATCCATATAGGGGATTCCTTGCAGCTATTAAAGACCCAGCTAGATGCACTGACCGCCAGCTTTTCTTTTTTCTTTCTTTTCTTTTTTGGTTTCAAACAGAGCTAGGATATTTTGGGAGAGCTTGTTTGAAGGCAGTGATTTGAAATTAAAGCTATTTCATAATTTTGCTCCTTTTCAGAGTTACGGAGAGGGTAATTAAGTTTAAGCTTCAGCCCCTTCTGAGGGGTCCTTGCAATGTGTTCACACAGTCGTATGTTTTGCAAATCCAGAAAAAGTAAGGTGGTCCCCCAAATTATATAAGCTTCTAGCCCCACAAAACCTGCTATCAAATCCAACCCTTTTAAGTAATCAGCAACCCATGGGTTAGCTCATTTAAAAATCCGTGTGTTGATGTAAGGAACATCTAAACCTGTATGGAATTTCTATGAGTTTATTTTAGCCAAACTGACGACATACGTCAGGGAGCAAGATCTCAAATGCTCCCGACAGCCATCTTTTCATTACAAGAAAACTGTACGACCTTTATATGGCATCATCCCATTTGTGGAGAGACATATGCTTATACATGCATTAACATTTTCTAGGACATGGAAGAAACTTAACAGTGGGGAACGGAAAGTGGGTGATAGGGCAAAGGGAATTCCACTTTTCACTGTAAAACTTTCTGAATCGTTTGAATGTTTTTTTTTATAATGAGCATGTATTGCTTTTATAATTAAAAATTAGCAACCCAGTTGTCATGTGTGGACTTTGTTTTGACCGTGATTTGAGCAAACAAACAATAAAAAGATATTTTAGAGACATCCAAGGAAAAAATAATTCCAAATTGCATGTGTGGTGATAGATTACCTATTGATTTTGTGAAGTGTGATGATGGTGATGTGGTTGGTCACCATGTAGGTTAAATGACTTCAGGAAAAAAGGGAGATAGATTCAAAATTAAGCAAGTGTTAGGTGTGGGTGATCAGTGTATGGACTCATTACACTGTCCTCTTTACTGTTGTATATATTTGAAAACTTTCATGATAAAAACGCTTTTAAAAGTCAGGGAAGCCGTGAGGAACTATTAAAGAACTGAGCTTCCAAAGTCTTTACAACAGTGTTGAAACACACGGACTCAGTAGGCAGCAAGCTTCTATCACTGGGAGTGTCTGAACGTGTTGGAAAATTGCTGTGGAAAGAATTCCTGCCCTAACAGGACATTTGGACAAGATTCCTTTAAGAAGTTCCCCTACTGCCCAACCAAGTACCTACTACGTTCCAGATAATCAAAATAATTACCACCACCTACTTTTAAGGCATAGAGGGGAACATCAGAAACTGTACTTATATTTACTTTTATGGAATCAACAGTGAAAAAGCAACCTAAGAAATGGGAGAAAATATTTGCAAATCATATATCCAATAAAAGGTTAATATCTAGACTATATAGAGAACTCCTACAACTCAACAACAAGAAAAAAACCCCAAACAACTCCATTCAAAAATGGGCAAAGGACTCTAGTAGAATTTTTTTCCATAGAAATACACAAATGGCTGAAAAGCACATGAAAAAGTGCTCAGTAATCATTAGGGAAATGCAAATCAAAACCACAGTGAGATAGCACTTCATACCCATTACGATGGCTACTATCAAAAAACCAGAAAAGCAGTGTTGGCGAGGATGTGGAGAAACTGGAGCCCGTTGGTGGGAATGTGATATGGAGAACAGTGTGATGGTTCCTCACACATGTAAAGCTAGAATTAGCATGTGACCCAGAAATCCAACTTCCGGTACCCACCCAAAGGAATTGAGAACAGGGTTCAAATTGATATTTGCACCCCCACGTTCACAGCAGCACTATTCACAGCTGCCAAGAGGTGGGAGCAACCCAAGTATCCATGGACAGATGAGCGGATCATCAGAATGCGGTCTGTCCACCCAGTAGACGATTATTCAGCCTTAAAAAGTTAGGACATTGATACCTGCTACAACGTGGAGGAAGCTTGAGGACATTATGCTGAGTGACATAAGCCAGTCACAAAAGGACAAATGCCGCATGACGCCACCTATATGAGGTACTGAGAGTGGCCAAATTCAGAGACAGAAGTGGAATGGTGGTTGCAGGCGCTGGGGGAGGGGATGGGGAGTTGTTGAATGGGTTTAACGGATAGTCAGTTTTGCAAGATGAAGAGTTCTGGAAATCGGTTGTGTAACAATGTGAATGTCCTTCACATTACTGAATTGTACACTTAAAAATGGTTAAGATGGTAAATGTTGTATTTTACAATAAAAAAAAAAGTGAATGTGCTTAATTTTACCTGATGAATCGATAGCTTCTGACTGAAAGCTAGAAATCTAAATCTTGGCACCAAATAAAAACAAATCATACCTACTTAAAATAAACGAGGAAAAGACTTACTTATTCGTTCTAGGTCAAAGTAGTAACAAGAGCTGCTATTTAGAGAATGCCTTCTAAGCGCCATGCACTTTGCAAATATTACCTTTAATTCTCACAAGGTAGATAACAGCTCCATTTTATAAATGAGGAAACGGGCTCTTTACGCCTTTGGAATAGGGTGGCAGTGGCAGAGCCAGAATTTAAATGCCAGTGTGTGGTTCAGTCCCCTCCACCACAGGCTGGCTGGACATTGTGCCTGCTGGGATCACCTGTGTGGCATTTCTTTAGCCTTCGCCTGTTCAGTGTCACATTTAGCACCCCAGGTATGTGCAGCAATTATGTCTTATAACAGATCAAAAACAACCAGTCATTGATAACCATTCTGAATAGGTTTTCAAAACTTGGATGCAGTCACTTTACTGCATTCTTTGTGGAAATATTTAATTAGATCGTGGGTTCCTAATTTTAGTTAAAGTCATGTCTGGCGTGATACATCAGAGCCCTAGCAATTGTCCTCCATAAAGGCCCTTGCCCATAGTTGTAAAGTAAGCACTATTTAAGAAGGTTACATTTTTCAGTTTGTGGATATCAGAGAAATAAACCTTGATCCATTTGGTTAATATGGTGCTAATGTGTAATTCATTTATGTGAGCCTCTGAGTTTCTCTCTCTAGTCCAATTTTTACTAAATACTAATAGCAGGTACTGTGCCAAATGTTCTGCTTGGATTCGCTTAGAACGCGTCCAAATGAGGGGACACCATTTTTAGTCCCACTTATGGGAGAGGCACAGAGTTAATGGTTTCGCAGGTGAAGTGGCTGAGCAGGGTTTTGCCCGGCAGTGACGCCGGAGCCTGTGCGCTCTGTGTCCAGCCACCTGGCTGTCTTCCCCCGAGTAGAAAGCTCGCCAACCCTAACCCCCAACTGACGACAAAGGCACTTGAATACATATAAAAAAGCATTTATTAACTTAAGTTGTACATAATTGATTTAGCCAAACCAAGAAACTTAAGTAAAACCTCTGCGACTCCGTTCAGCCTGAACTTCACAGGACAGGACAGCCTGGATGGGATACGAGACCTCTTTTGCTTAAAACGTAAGAGTGAAATGGCTCCGATCCTGTTCTGCAGGAGTGCAGAGCTGTGGGGAGCCAAGCCGATGCCAAGCAGGCATTGTGCTGAGCCAGTCGGGGCCAGTCTGCTGCCCAGAACTCGGCCCCCGAGCGGCTTCCTCACTACTGAGGCAGCAGCTAGAAAAATCCAAATACGATTCCAAAGCCGAGGTGGCGGATGCACTGTCGGTCTGTAGCACCCAGTGGTCTGGAAGCTGGAGTCACTCTGTGGTGGCCTGTTGTGCTTTGGCAGCATTTTCCAGAATTTTCCTTTTCCACTCTTCATAATCCTGCATCAGATCTTCATCTTCTTGCGGTTTCTGTGGGACCTCGACTGCCTTCTCTACTTCTGTGAGAGAAAATTTTCAAAAGTGTTTCACAATTCTCATGTTTGCAAATGAAGTAAGGAAGAAAAAAGGAAACTTGTTGAAAGTATATAATCATTACTGCAACAGGGACACCGCAGCCCACACGTGAGCTTCTGGCTCTCACACCCCAAACACTCCAAGACACCCCGATTTGAGCAAACATTCGTCAGGCGCTCGCCTTGGGCCTAACAGGCACCGAACCAAGCACTTGCACGCCGCCCTCACAGTTCCATGAAGTGGCTGCCGACTTGAATCAGCTTTGATAGATTTGGAAAGCGAGGCTCACAGGAAGTCAGTGATGCCCCTGAAATTACAGAGCTGGCGGCGGAGAGGCGGGATGTGCCCCTGCGCTGTGGCTACAGGTGTGTTCTCAGACGAACATCTGCTAACCTGTCACTGAAGCAGCACGTGACAGCTCACCGCTCCAACCCCCTGTCCACTATCCTGCTGCGCTAATGGCGGTCTGGCCAGGGTCAGGACACCTTACCCTTTGCTGGACGTTCAGTCACTGTCTTCTTTTTCTTCCGGGGTGGACTAGCTGAATCTCGAGGCTCTCCTTTAAGGAAAAGACGTGTCATCAAGGTGAATTTTCTCCTGTTCCCAATGTCAGTCTTTGAGCATATTTGAGATGACAAAAACTGGAGACCTTGACTGGCCCAATCCTAGGATAAGGAGAAGCAAATGACCGTTCCTGTCCCTTGGCTTCTCCTGTCACACTTGAGAATCACCGCTGCTCCAGCTTATTTGGATAGAGGCTGGCATTTAACACTGAAGCATATTAACAGAGAATCTACGACATTTTCGAACATTCCTGAAATAAGGAATGAATACTCACTGTTCATCTGCTGCCCGATCTTCTCTAATTGTTTACATAGTCGATCAAATATGGCTTTTTTAACACCAGATGTGGCTACCATTTTATTTCTGTCCACTTTTAGCTTTAAAATCCTACAAAGAAATTTGATAAATTACTGTTCTTAAGACCAGTTGTTTTTTTTAAATGCCTAGGAAATCACAGTGGCTACTGTTTTAATAACTGACTTCGTAGTTATAAAAGGTAGATCCTGAAATCAGAATGCTCAGCTTATATGGACGCTGCCCCTTGGCAAGTGCACTTCCGGCAAGACTAGTTCTAAACTGTCAGCCATTATCGACAGAAACTGAGAAGCTGGTACTGTGGCCACTATTCCTAATGTCACTCAAATGGAAAACTAGGCTCTCAGTTGAAATAAATTAGAAGTGCTATGTGGGAATGAGCAATACATTTGTGAACTGTGGGCTTCTCTGAGTGTTCAAAGGCACACTTACTTGCACGCGGAAAGCAGGGCAGCCGTGGTGAAAAGTGGCCTGGATAAGTCAAGATCCACTTGCTGTGTTTGTGGCAGATGGGACTCGTAGCTGAGGGAAAGCAGTGTTTGCAGAATTATTGGTTAGAAAACATTTCAAAGGGGCTGAAAATGCAAGTCAGAACTTAAAGCTATTCAAATGCATGATATACATCTGTCACTTTACCAAGTTAGTTTTTAACCCGACAGTGGATAATTTTGCTTTACGTATCAGTATAAATTTTCAGTGAAGGTTCTTGATGCCTCGTACCTTTGTAGTAACTCTGCAGCCATGTTCACTGCTTCAGTGCAGCTAAACTGCACAGCTAGGTCTCTTATTCCGATATTAGAATTCAGGCCCAGTAAACACTCCAGAGACTTAAGACAGCTCTGATATATCTTCTTGTTCAAACCAGAAAGTTTAGTTGAATAAGCCTTTGAAAGAAACAACACACATGAATCATAAAAATCCTAAGTTCTATATAGCAGTGCCTTAATTTTTCAAATTAATAAATTCAGTCTGGGGCAAGTCACTCTACCTAAAGGTTTAGCTTTGGTCGACAATTCAAGTTCATCTAGAACAACAACGTGATAATAGCCAGGCAAATTCTAAAACACAAGAGTTTTGAGGGGGTTTATCTAGTCCAACTAGAAATTAAAACGTATGATGCATCTTTGATGTTGCAGTAGATCATTCAGACCTTCAAAGGGGCCTACTCACCCTATCCAGAGGACACTTCATACAGGAGGCTGCAAGGTCCAGGCACATGACCGCACTGCTGGTCTCTGTGGTGTGTGCCGACAGGCCAGTACACTTCACCTGGGACAGTCGCAAGTACTCCTCTGCTTTCCTGGTTAGAAGGGCAGCATGCGCACGAGAACGCTTTTCCACAAGTTTGCCCAACACTCTGGTAAACACTGACTACTGCCTGGTGGCCTGCACCTGAAGCCTAACTCCTGTGCAGATGCACGGGGGCTGGGAACGAAACGCACATCCTCGGAGGAGGACGGGGTCCTCTGACTCCAGACACCGCTTTCAGGCAAAAGTAAGTTCTCCGGTGCTTCCAGAAAGCAACCTGCCTTCATCCTTCCGTTCCCGGAGCAAGCAGGGCCTATCCCGGGATGTGCTTTTAGCCCTTCCTCTACCTCAGTGGTTCTCTAATGCACAAGGCAAGGACCTTGGGGCTTGTGAGGACAGGCTGCTGCTCCCATCCTGAGTTTCTGATCAGTAGGCGTGGGGTGCAGCCCAAGAATCTGCATTTCTAACAAGTGTCAGGATGACACGGAAGCCCCTGGTCCAGAGAACCACTAAATGATAACCAAATCCCAGAGGTCTTACTTCGTCTCTTTTTAAAGAAGTGCTCCCCCATCCCCTTCCATTCCCTCCCCTGACTGTCCAGGCACCGGGCCTAGTCCTGCTGTCCACGCTTTAGCTACAACGGGGCGGGTACCTCCTAGCGTTCGGGTCTCAGCGCAAAAGGCACCGCCCCTCCAAGGCCTTATTTGCATTTTTTATTAAAGGCAGCCAGCCGCCAGGCCGCGCTCTGCGCCCCCCCTCCCCCCAGTCGTTCTGGCACGTCACCCCGCTTGGTGTTATATGTAGTTCTTGCGGGGGGGGGGGCTGTACCCCGTGTGTGTGGTTCACCGCTGCAAACAGGCCGTCAATAAACGTCTGAGGAGGAACCGAAGTTCTCCGACTCTTCCCCTCTCCCACCAACGTGCGTGGCACGGCTACATGAGATTTTCTTGAGATGGGGACTAAATCCGCAGGAGGTGCGGGTCTCGCTTGGGAAGGACCCACGGCCGCTGAGACGTGCGTGGCCGTACTCACCTCAGCACTCTGGGCTCGGCGATGCCCAGTCGCGACGCTAGATGCGGGATCAGCCCCGACTCCATGGCACCCACTAGAAGGACACGCGCGAACAGAAGCGACGCGACGAAATCCGCGCGCAGACGTCGCCACCGCCAGTGAGGGCCAGGCCCCACCTCTCTGCTCTATCTGGATTGGTTGGGACAAGAACGAGAGCCCGCCTTATATACCAATCCTGGTCTCCCCTCTGCGCGTGCGCACCGCGAGTGCACACGGCAGGGAAGGGCGAGTGTGGTCGAGCAGCTCACCTTCCTTCCAGTCCTCCGTTATTGACAAGTTCGACAAATGCTGCCTTTCCCTCTTGCTGTCTCCTTCCTGGCGCCGAGCGAATGCCCCCTACTCTGCACCGCCCCGCCCTCGCCCACACTGTGGAGAGACTGGCTGGCGCCTGGGTCCGTCAGTCCAACGATAAGTGGCAAGGGCCAATAAATATGCGAGACTTGGATTCCTAGAAGCGGGCCAATCGAGGAGCCGCCTGCAGGTCCGAAGGCGGGGCTAGAGAGGGCGGGGCTTGGAGGGGCCGTAGCGTCACCTGACCGCGGGAGGCTCCGCGCGCGGTGGGTGCTGATTGCTGCAGGTTCAGGGGAGTCGCCATGGTGAGTGCTGAGGACGGCGGGCCCAGGGCGGACCCTTCTCCTAGCCCCCGCTCTCTCCCACCGCCCTGGGGCGCTGAGGGCGGAGTGGGGGCCCCGCAGCCCGATCGCGGCTCGCACCAGCCCGGCTTGGCCTGCGGGGTGGGGGACAAGCCGGGGAAGGCCGCAGGCGGGCCGACCCGGCCGGGGGTGGGCGGTGGCCGCTGGCCGCCGCCGTTGCTTTGAGACAGGCGGCCTCTCGGGAGGTGTCTCGGCCTGGAGGTTCTGGAGTCCGTGAAGGCCTGCGGACGCCTCTGAATGAAGTCGGCCACCGCCACGCCCTGACCGGAGCCCGAGCGCCTCGTCCGAGCGTCAGGCTGGGCGGGGGGCGTGCGGAGGGCCGGAGGCTCAGCGGCGGCGGCGGGACCCACCCGGAGGGAGTGCTCCTTTGCTGGCGTTTGCACCTTTGTGCCCGGTAGCGTTCTGCCGGCCCCACGCCTTTTCTTGTGCTAGAAATGCCTCCCGTAGGGCCCGTCATGGTGCCCGGCCTTTCTCGGCCTCGCAGCCCCCTTGACTGCAGTCCTTTACAGGGATTTCTAGGGATTCGCTTACGCGAATTTCCTGGAAGGACTCGTGCTATCCGATACCTCCGAATTCTGACAGACGGAAAGGAGACGGCTTGTTCCCTTTAACGTGTGTTCCCTGGGCACCCAGGCTCGCTCGCTGGCCTCCCATTGATGAAATCCAAGCATTTCACTTGCTGGAAGCAGGCATTCTCCTTAGCGCGTCTCTGTGATGGCAGCAGATCGCGGTGTGGCCGTTGGCTGGTGAACTGGGACTTCCTCAAAATGTGAATCCTTGTGTCTAGTGTCCACAAAGGCAAGTTGTTACTTGCATCTTATTAGCGTTTGACACAGTCTGCACTGTGTAAATGATGTTTCTGTATGTTGGCGTATTGTGTGTCAGTTTTAATTATCTCACTATTCACTTGACGTACACAGGCTTCTGGAAACGGGCCTGACTTCAAATGTGTTCATGCCAGAGAGCAGGATTAAATGTTCGACATATGCCACTTTCCTCTGATACAAGGTGATTTGCTTATTTCTCAGCATTTTTACAGCTGGGAATTGTTGTAAGAACAGAGCAAAAATTTAGCTAGGCTTTGTCTGGTTCTCAGCCTTTATGGATGGACGTTTATAGTGATTTGTAGTGAAAGTACTCGATTGAAGCTCTGTGCCAGCCAGTCAGTCCTGTGCCAGGTGAACCAGTTTGGAGAATTGAGCCAGACACAGTCCTGTGCTCATGCATTTTATTGGGAGAGAAAACTCCAGTATCAGTCTTGTCACAGTCGCTGCCCCTGGTGTGGCCAAGTCACTCTGTCTAACTTGAGTCTCACTTTTACATCTGAAAGCGAGCACTGGCCTCTTTGGCTCTTCCCAGTCCTCAAATTCTAGGATCCAGTTCAATTCATCAAGGACCCTGTGCGCCTTCTATGTCACGGAAGCAACCTGTCTGCCTTCTGTGCTGGGCACTGGAAACAAACACAGCCCTTGCTCTTCCAGCGCTTAAGGACCTGGAGGGGAAGGCGTGCTCGTGGAACGTAATGTCACACAGTCTGAGCGTTGCCTTACCAGCGCTGTCAACTCAGTGTCGTGGGGTCGTGGAGGGAGAGCTAGTTCTGCCTGGGAGCTTGAGAAAGATTACAGGAAGTAACGTGAACTGAGACTCCAAGGAGGGTGAACAGAGGTACTGCAGGTGGAGCAGAAAGGGCATCGCACACAGATACAGCTGGGAGAAGTGAGTGCTCCTGGTGGGCACCATCATAGACTGCCTGGGGAAATGGATGGAATTGGAGACACTTTCGCATTCAGATTATCTTTTCCCCTCATGAAGTTGCCATCCCCTCATCATCCTTAGTTCTCCCTACTTCAGTTGTCATTTTGTGCCTTAACATTTTAAATAGCACACTCATCACCATGGTGAGATTCTCTAACTTTGTGCGATAGGTTATTTTCATTTTACAGTTGATTTGCGTTGTGTTGTTAGATTACATCTGCAGCATATGAATGGAGATATTGACCAACAAAGAAGTTGCTAGGATGAGTGGAAATAATTGCTTGTATGTATGCAGAATATAGTAATAATGGTAACACTTACGAAGTACTTGTTACTAAGTGCGAGGCAACTTCTGAGCTTTAGCTGTTCATTTCGTTCATTCTTTGTAACAGTGATGTACATAAGTACTCTTACTGTCCCTGTTTGATAGAAGAGGAAACGAAAGCACCTTGTTTAAATGGAGAGTAATTTCTTAAGTGACATGTTCCTGATGACTTTTGCTTTTCTCTGTATGGTGTAACTGTAGACTTGGGAGGGCTGTTTAGCTTGGGTCTCAAGCTAAAATGGGCCTAATCATAAATGTTAATTTCATCTTGATTCTGTGGTATTTCCATTTTTCTCTGATCCGCTTAGCAGCTGCTAAGTACAGAGTGGTCTGTAAATGGAGAACCAGTTTCACCCATGAGGAGACGCTGGTTGCCTGGCTTGTGTTTAATGAGAACACGTTCATGTTAATAGCTGTTCCTGTTGTAGGTGACAGTTCCCAGGAGGGGCATCAAGACACACCCTTAGAATAGCCGTTTGTGTAATAACTATTGGGTTGTCGGAAAAGTCGACGCATTTTTGCAACGAAAAACAGAAAAAATACGTCATGACTTTTCTGACAACCCAATACATTGTCTTATGAGTAATATGTAAAAACATGTTTCTTTATTATAGCTTTATCTCTTCATTTGTAGCCTACTTTGTAATAAGTGTATTTTCTACATTTTGTATTTATGTTGCTTTTCATTTTAAACCTAGTTGATACAAAATAGAAAAAATTTACTAAAATTTTATTTATTTGTTTGTAGATCACTGAATCTAGTCTGTTTTACACAAATATTTTTGTAATTGTTTGTGATCGTTTTATAACCATAGTTTTATTTGCTATATAGACAGTCATTATACACAGCAGCCTAAGAGGTGGAAGCAACCCAAGCATCCGTTGACGGATGGATAAACAAAACACGGCACATACATACGATGGAATATTATCCAGCCTTAAAAAGGGAGGAGATTATGACACATGCTATAACACAGATAAACCTTGAAGATATTATGCTAAGTGAAATTAACCAGACACAAAAGGACAAATATTGTATGATTCTACTTACCTGAGGTACCTAGAGAAGTCAAACTCCCAGAGAAATGAAGTACAATGGTGGTTGCCTGGGGTGGGAGTGGGGGAATGGGGGGTGAGTGTTTAATGGGCACAGAGTTTCCTTTTGGAAAGATGAAATAGTTCTGGAGATGGGTGGTGGTGATGACTGTAAACAATGTGAATGTCCTTAATGCCGCTGAACTGTACACTTTAAATGTTTAAAATGGCAGTTTTTTATATATATGTATAGATACCACAATACAGTAATTATAAAAATTTCCTGATATATCACTACTTATCTCTAAGTTGACTATCTGACCTTAATGAAATCCATTGATTCTGATAACTGTTAAATCTGTTGCATCCAGATGTGAAGAGCCAACAACATTCAAACCATACTTGGTCTCGCTGAAGTTCTCAGAGGACTAGCCCATGATGAACGTGAATTTCATTAAGTCGGGATCCTGAAATGCTGTGTAGTCCTTCCTTGCCTCTGAAACCAGCATTTCACACTAATAGTTCTGCCATATTAATTAATATTCCCTTCAAGTTTAGTTTAAAGATATAATTTTTTTTCTTGAAATTTATTATGCTTCTGAAGTGTGGTTGTCGGGAAACTCAGTTTATTAGAGTTTGCCTTAGGGAACATAAAGCGGTGCTTGACCTTGCTTATTATCTAGTTAACGTCCTTCTCTTTCCAAAATTAGACCAAGAAAGTTTTCAGTTTTTGTAAATGATTCTAGTTCAGAAGTGGACTTTATAGGGTTTTTGTTAATCTCAAAATTAAGTGTTGTCTTGATTGTCTTCAGTAACGGAACTGACGAGGTTTAACTTTCGTGTTTCTGTATAAGTCCTTGCGGTCCACCTTTCCAGATGCTTGTGTAAGGCATTCTATCTGCAGTCACTTTCTTTTTTATTAAAGTGAAATTCACATAACATAAAATTAACCATTGTAAAGTGAACAATTCAGTGGTACTTGGTCCATTCACAGGGTTGTACAGCCACCACCTGTCTAGCTTCAAAGCATTTTTGTCACCCCAAAAGGAAACCCTGTAGTACTCATCACGCAGTTACTCCTCCACTGTCCCTCCTGGTAACCACCACCTGACTTTCTGTTTCTTTGGATGATTTGCCTATTCTGGACATTTCGTATAAACAGAATCACACAATATGTAGTCTTTTGTATCTTACCTCTTTCACTTAGCATATGTTGTCTAGGTTCATTTGCATAGTTTCTTTCCTTTTTATGATTGAATGATATTCCATTATGTGTGTATACCACAATTTGTTTACCCATTCATTTGTTGATTCTTTAGTCATTTTTTATTAAATACATAATGTAAACATTCTAACACCAACTCATTTATTCATTCACTGAACATTTATGAAGCATCCATTATGTGTCAGGCAGTGCGTTGGGTCCCGAGGATGTAAAAATGACTATCATTTATGGTTATAACGTGACACACTCTGTAGTGGAGGTGTAAACACAGTGTTTATACAACATGAAGGGCGGAGTGGTTAATTCTGCTCCATGGGTGGATCTAATTCATTTCTCAAGCAGATTTATTTTGTCCACTATTACTGTAGATCTCTGTATTTGAAATGGTAAGTGAGGTACTTGAGGAGAGAATACTCTTT